ACACACACACACACACACACACACACACACACACACACACACACACACACACACACACACACACACACACACAAAAGCATCAACTACTTTTTTTAAACTGAAAAAAAAAGGAACATAAAAAAAAATCACTTTCAATAACTAGACCGGAAGATTTGTTAACCATTAACTTGATTAATCCATTCAAATGCTGATTAAAAACAAGGTCGCCAAAACTAGAGATGGACTCAGATAATCACATTAACTACTAAAGTTACTAATCCGCTAAAACTTGAGTTGGAGAGCGTGCTCTGCTCTGCTGAGTGCACACATTTTTTTTTTTTTTTTTTTGATATTTGTGCCGGATAACACGAACACAACTCGTGCTGAATGTCATTAAGAGTTTGTCAGTTGCATTTTCAGGCCTGTTTTCTGCAGGTCAGTAATGGAGTGACATGAATTACGGATAATTGTCATGTTTCCCCTCATGCGAAAGAATGTAATTTGGAGGTGGCTAACCTGTTCCCTTATTGATAAAGGGGAAAGGTCGCCTGAGATGATACAAATGGCACCTGTGCTGTAGAGTGCTGCTGCGAAAAGCCTGTTTCAGCATTTTGTTTCTCGACGAGACAGCAGCACTTACAGGACAAAACAACACCAGTCCCATTACTTACRTCTACCACAGGTAGGTAGCTTGATGTGGACAATGGAGGCATGCCATATGGCCTACTGTTTACAATAATCTAGGGACATTTGTTACCCTCCCCCCCGTTTCTCTCTCTTTTCTCTCAATGTGTATGAGATCCACTCCAGTCTAATTCCTAAGCTCATGGCCTTGCATTAGTAATTAAAAAGGGCAAAAATCAGTGTCCAGATGTAGAAGTAAACAAGGGCTCAAATATCGGACTTTGAATTTAAACTCCAAATCAATTACATTACTCTTTGTTCCAATAATGCTTTTCACCAGCAGCGGTGATTAACGCAAACGAGAGCAGCGTCATCAGCAGTTAAACATTTTTCTTCATATAATTACAAAGAAAGCACTCAAAGAGTGATAAGCCAGATATTCCATTCAGAAAATAGAAGCACACACACAAAAAAGGAAAAAAAATCCAACAAAAACATGCAACTAATCCATCAGAAAATAATTTCCTAATGTAAGGACAAGAGAAGTATTAATTTCTTTGTTTAACTTAATGGCCTCTAGGTATAAAGCACAAACAGCAGTTGTTGTCATGTTTTTTTTATCATTATTTTTAAACTGAATACATGACAGCAAGATGAGGACAGAAAAGCGAATATCTCTTACTTAAGCTCCTGCTCCTCTTTGTCATCCTTGTTTGGTGTGAGCTTCAAACCTCCTTTTCTGGCTCGTGGACACCCTGACAAGCTGAAAACGGTCGGAGACAGTGAGATAACAAGAAGGAACTCCGTGGACGAGTTAATTCAGCAGCTAGAATTGGACAGCAGACACAAGACTTTTGAAAGTCCTACCGCAGATTTAAAAAAAAAGATTTTATTTGTATCTGGATGGGTAGATAAATGGGTAGCTGGGTAGACAGATGGGTAGATAGATGGGTAGATAGATAGATGGATGGGTAGATAGATGGGTAGATAGATAGATCTACAGCCAAATTATGCATAAAAAAACAAGAAATCAAAAAGTGCAGCATGTTTGCTGTATAAAAGTGAGACTTTCACCATCTGTTTGAATGCCATGCATCTGACAAATACATTTCATGCTCAGTGGTGATGATTTTTTTTCTCTCCGCTACCTTCTGTGCGAAGCATAGTTCCCAGTCACATGTCCAGATCCATCACAACCAGGTGTTGGGCACCTGCAGGTTGAGAGACACAGACACCAGGTGTTTTTTTTACTTGGGGGGGGAGAAAAAAATTGCGATCAGAGCAGTGGATTCATGCTAATGTGCAGAAAAGTAGCACAAATAGCAAAACAAGTTCATGTTGAGTACATGGAAATCTTGCATAATGTGTAACGGGAAAGAAATGGGAGGGACAGATAGAGCAGGGAAAMGGAGAGAAGCAAAACGCCAGAACAAGCTGCTTAGTTTTACATGAAAAGCAGTTTTCAAAACACGCACTTTAGTTCCTGAGAGTTGGCTGCCATCAGCGATTTGAGCGTTTTGTCAGCCAGGGGACATCCAGACACACTGGAGAGGATAAAGAGCTAAGAGTCATTTTAATTCACTCTTTGATCACAGTTAAATAATCTTAATACAATGAGTCAATATACAGAATTATTTGGAAACACAACTCGGCTTCCTTCCTCACAAAGGCTCGGTGGCTGCTGCCTTGTTCTAAAGAGGCAGCGGTTTACAGCTGCAGTTTGTGACAAGTTTTCAGATGGAACGATAGAGCGTAATTAAACAATAAGCACTGTTTGAGTTGTCTGTACATCTTCAAGCTGGCGCTAATGAGAGTGTAATTAATTGCCGTACCTCCGATGCGATGCATAATTCCCCGTCACGTGGCCACTGCCGTCACAGCCTGGGGTCGGACAGCTGCACGGGAACACAAAGCATTTAATACGCAGATTATTCCACTTCCTACAGACTTCGCCAAGCTGGAGCTGAATATTTATTTTACTCTGACGACCCTTTGCATGGGCATTTAAGAGGAACAGGAGTTAGTACAGCGAGAAGTTTAGTAGAAATTCATGATTTTATGAATTAACTTTGAGTTTTAGAGCGTCTCTGAGCATCAGCCGGGAGATCTCAGGCGAGAGGTGTTTGTGCCACAGAAACTAGAGGATCCTACGTTTGGGTTTTGGTTTGTTTCTGTGTGAGGAGACCCAGTGGTGCATGCACTCTAACTACAAGAGTCAGAAGTTGTGCGAAGCAGGACATTCAGGGAGAAAACTCACTTTCAAAAAAGAAACAATTCTTCTCCCCATGAACCTGCAGACATACCAGTTACAGTCATACGTAACACAGTGAGCTTCACTTGACCCACTTAAATCAATCTGCTCTATGGCTTTAAGTTTTGTTTTATTAATAATACTGACCATCTGCCAACTAAAAGGGAAGATCAGATTACACACATTTATCTGAATAAAGATGCTACAAGATGTTTCAGTATTTAGCGGCCTACCTCAGAAGCTCTTTCTTTGCGTCTCGTAACAGCAGCTTGGCTTTGGTGCTTAACATGCTGCCGTCTCCTTGATAGTGTTGGTCCTCCAGGGATACCTGATCATAATCCTCCTGCTGAGAGAGACAAAATAACAACATGGCTTTTACTGTCCTAAATGTCAAAAACTCGCCTCTCAGTGACCTAAAAGTGAATAATTAAGGAAATCCCTGTGTAATACTCTTAAAACATTTGCCAAGGTCAGAGAGCAAGACAAGGAGATTATGCCTAAGGATTCTCATACATCCATTTAAAGTCTGACTTAATCCAGTGTTTAGGATAGCCACAACAAATGGGCTTTCGTTTTTCTTTTAATAAAAAAGATTGTCCAATTAGATGTTTTGTATGATTTAAAAACAGAACAGTGTGATAAGTTGTCAATCTCTGAAACAGAGTCCAGATTATGGCTCATACTGACACTTCTGGGCAACAATGTGGAGTTCAAATTAACATTTGTACTCAGTATGAGTCGGTTTATTATATTTTATAGATGAACAGATCTACTCCTTGATTTTTCAAAATGTCACCAAGAGAGATTACAACATATTCTTTTTTTCTTTTTTTTTTACCTGCAGCAACCTAAAACTTTCACTGAATTCATTCTCTATTTGAGCAAACTGATTTTACACCCTGCAAAAGTTTATAATTTCCAGGTAGTTTTTGTAAATTCAACCATGTCAAGCTAAAACAGAAATCTTTAAATTAACAGATAAACTAACAAATACATATTTCCTGTTTTAGTTTTTGAGAGCATTCCTGATAATTTAGGTCACTAAAATATTAAATCAAATATAGCTGCCTTAATGAAAAGTATGTTATTTGTTAACAGTTAGTGGTCTGCTTGCTCTCAAAATAGAAAGAAAAAATTACATAAAATACATTTCATTTGATACAAGTCCTTTAAATAAATCAAACTGCTCAATATTATTTTATATGCAATATTAAAAAGTCAAACTATGAATTTTACCTCACAATTTCTAACTAAGAAACAATATCTTCTTTTTTTTTACTTTTTGGACTTAATGCCTTTTTATTAGTTTTAACCACTCATTCTCCGTTATTTGACCATTTGATGTTTCTTTTTACCTCTTTGTCTTGTAAAATGTGAGCTTTGCTGAAGTTGACAGGGATGGAGTTCTCCCAGCTCTCTCTGTCACACAGCGGCTGGTAGAAGGTGGGGCTGATTAGCAAGCTCCCGCCTTTCGCCACGGTGGGCTCAGGAGGAGACAGCGTGTCGACCGGGGGTGTCCTAGTCCGGGCTTTTCCGTTCTCCTTACACTTCTTCATGCTCAGGTCCAAAGTGCCATTTTCATCCACCTCGATGAGCATATCCTGCAAAAACAAAGAATAAACAAAATGAAATAAACAGTTCAAATTCATATAACGATTAAAATCACAGCAAAGAGTTAAAATATAAAGCAATAGCAAAGTGGTTATCATTTAAAGATGAAAAGTGACTTAAAATGCAAACAATGTTTTTTTCTTTTATTTTCTTTTTTTTTGTAATACACACAGTGGTTATCTCACACCAGACAAAATACAGAACTAAGCCAGCATTAATTCTGCTGAACACAAAAAAATAATCACTGGTGTGTAGTTTTTTTTTTCCTAGTGACAGCTGTGTCATCTGTTTTCTAGGACACACAACCAAGATGGCAGCTGGGAGTCGGGGTGTGTGTGTGTGTGTGTGTGTGTGTGTGTGTGTGTG